AACTCCACAGACACAGGGGACTAGACCTTTGGAGGGATGCTCATCAACTACAGCGGGATCAACTGGGACTGAACCTGCTCTAAAATGGAAACAGGTCAACAATTCTCCCTGAACTCACTGATAATGAGGACTAGCAGAGATACAGCCAGAGCAAAGAGCATGATTCATTCAGTAAGTGCTGACTGAGAGCCTGCTGTGCCAGGCAGTGTGAGGACCAGCACATAACTGTGCCTGCATTCCTACTCTTGATCTCAGCCCTTGTGTTTAATAGAGAAACCATGCTTACTTGGTGAAGTCAGATGCACCACATAGCCTTTCCCCACATAGATGGCCCAGTGTTCAAATGTGCCACGAAAAATTTCAATGAGGTCTCCACGTTTGGGTCTTGTTCTGTCCTGCAACAGAAATATCAGACACAGATAGAGGGGGCCTTTGTATGGGATGTTTTAAAATCTGACCTGCAAGAAGACCCAACCCAGTCCTACAGGATCCCTGTGCTCATCACCTGAGGAATCAGAGAGGAGAAATTGCTCCATACACAGGTGGGAAGCCTCTCCACTCCATTTACCATGTGCTTGCTAGCCTGGAAAGGTCTCAGGACAAGGAGGAGATGGAAAGGGGTGTCTCTCAGGGACCATGGCAGTCGGTCTGCATCACAGGAGTGTGGGGCGGTGATGTGCACCAGCTGCAGAGAGCACATTTTATGCCCAGAGAATGTTTATATCAGCAAATGTCAATATGATTCCCAAGAACGTCCAAAATGCATCTTAAGGGCCACCACCAGCCATGCTCTTGGGCTTCAGTGATGCTCATAATGTACAGAGTGTCCTTGTTCAGAGCCCAACGTTCCAAACACTGCAGAACAGTTGACCCCACTGTCCATCATCCTAAGAAGTACCATCACCGTCTTCCACAGATGAGAAGACTGGGTCTTAGGATGGTTAGGTGACTTTCCTAGAGAGCAGAAGATCCAGAAGAAACTGAGTCTCAGGGTTTCCAATATTCATGCCTGAACAATCCCAGATAGTCCCGGACAAACTGGGGCAGCTGGAGTCTGGGCTCCAGGCCAAAATCAATAGAGAGAAAGACAGGATGTGTTTGGGAATCAGAGGGGAGGGGTTCTCTTTGAAGTTCATATGAGTGAGTTGTATTTCTAGAATACAATGATGCAATCAGCTGCCCTCCCCCAAACTCAGCTGAGCCCAGCATCTGGCCCAGTGCACCCTGCCAGGGAGCTGAGCTGCTGCAGAGAGAAGTGAGGATGCAGCTGCCTGGAGGAGGTGGGAGATCTCCTGGGAGTTCAAGTCCTTGGCAGCAAGGATCAGGAGTCATCTTGACCCAAGGGGGGCTGATCAGAGCATCAGAAAGGTAATACCTGCTGGCAGTGGTCAGGCCTGGCTGTAGTCCCAGTGACTGGGAGCCTGTGGCAGGAGGATCACATGTTTGAAGCCAGCCTGGGCCACTAGGAGACCTGGCCTCACAGTGAAGATTAAGAAGAGCTGGGAAGTAGCTCGTTCATAGAGAGCACTTGCCTCGCTTGCTCAAGGTCCTGGTTTCAATCCCTCGTACTGGGAAAAAATCAGCACACATGTACTGAAATACAGCAGATCGGTTCTAGGAAACACGTTTAAGTAATGAGAAAGATTCAAGTGTATCTAGATGAGCTGTACTCAGGGAACCCAGTTAAAAACCACCATAAAACACAAGGCTACAAGTCAGCACTGATAAGGGAGCTATATAGAGGTGAGTAGAACCATCTGGCAGAGTGTACCCCAAACTGCTTCAGGGGGAAGAGACAACACAGGGGGTCTGGGAGAAGGGCTGATTCTTCATGCTCAGGGCTTCCACTTGGATTTTGGTTTCTTCTTTTTTTAAAATTCTCTTTCAAAATCCCTTTATAAGTGCATTATATTTGTACATAATGATGAGTGTTCTGTTGCCTATACACACCTGCACCAATATAGCAATATAATATGCCCAGTTTCACTCCCTAACACCTCTCCCTCACCTCCTTCTTCCCACCCCAGTCCTTTCCTCTATTGATGTCCCTTGGACTTTCTGCCTTTTGTTTCTTAAAAAAGGCAAATACATTCACATATTACTGTGAATAAATTTGAAAATGTAATTAAATTAAAACAACAAAACTAAATGCTTTGGAAACTAAATGCTCCTCCATCATTCAAGAATTCCTCTGATCTTAACTGGAAGATCATTGCCCGTTTTCTTCTTTTTTAAAAAAATCTTTAGTTGTAGATGGACACAATATCTTTATTTTATTTGCTTATTTTTATGTGATGCAGGGGATCRAACCCAGTGCCTCACATGTGCTCTCTACCACTGAGTCATAACCCCGTCCCAATAAGGTGCTTCCTGAAACCTGGTTTGGGTAAAGAAAAGCCTTCAGTGAGGTGCCAGGAGGCAGCCAGCACTCAGGAGACCAAACCCCACACAGCAGCTGAGGCAGGGAAGCCTCTGGGCTCCTGGACCCAAACCATGGTTCCTTTCCTGCTGTGTGAGAGCCCCAGACCTGCAGCCCACCTGCCCCTCTCCCTTCCTGTCCCCTCTACACCTGAGCTGGAGCCAACAAGGACAACACATTTATCCCACTAACAGACTGCCACAGTTGCTTTTAAATGAAATCTTCAAAACCCTTTTTGGGGACTTACCSAAGAACACATCGTTCTGTCCAGAAGTGCTGTGTGTTGCAGTCGGGGTGTCCGGACTGCTTTTATTTAGATTTGAGTTTCATTTTCCTGTAACTTCACCTAGCCTAGCCTTCAATAGCGGAAAAATAGATCAAATTTCACATACAAATTTTAATCTTCCAACAAATGCAGGGCACACATCCCAGAGACAGTTAGATATGGAAATCACTTGGAGGGGAGASAGATCAGAGCCCAGTGTGCATTCAGGAGGATTTGCGGACATCTGTGGTCAGGGGAACATTAAAAAATCCCCAAGTGTCAGGGGGAAAGGAGAGACAGTGGAACAAGCAAGTGCTGATACTGAAAAACATAAATCAAAAAACAAAAAACCCACCCATGTCTTGGTGGGTGTGGGGAAGGCATGAGGGAGGGACAGAGCCTTAGGGAGGGGTTTCCAGGAATTAGGGGCTCTGAGGACACAAACACACCCCACAAGGAGGAGCGAACATCTCCAGAACAGGCAAATATTTCCACCAACTTCCAAACAACCACACCACCTGGAACAGGCCACCAGAGACATTTCCACACCCTGGRAACCCAGGAGCCCGCGTGGCCAGAGGATGGGAAGAAACCCTCCCTTCCTCTCCCCCAGGTCCSAAGCGCATTCAGTGTAGCCCAACAGGAAACCCAACCCTACTCCCTGGTGTGAAGAGCTGCTGCTTTAGACACCAGTGTGCGACCCACCCAAGCCCCTCACAAGCCTCTCTCTTCTGACACCCACTTCTTAACAGCAAGGGGCGGGAGGGAGTGGGCACAGCTCAGCACCCTCACTGTGGGGTTGTGGAGGGAGCAAGGGCCAGCCGCATGCCCTCTTCAGGCTCYAGGAAGACAGGGCTGTGGGTGAGCACACAGGGGGACTGGAACCACAGCTAGCAGACTCCATCTTCAGGGTCCACAGCGTCACTGTAGACGTGCTGTTCCACAGCCCATGCTGCTCCTGTGGACACGGGGCCTCTCTCAGCATCTCCATGCCAGTGTCCTCGGGCTTGCGTGGGACCCTCCTTACGGACTTTCCCAACCTCATTCTGGAGGGAGAGAGTGGGGGTAGGTTCAGCTGATTCCCTCAGGTCAGGGGAACATTCAGAAATCCCCAACTGTCAGGGGGAAAGGAGAGAAAGGGAAACAAGCAAGGGCTGATACCAATGTCCAGAGCCTCATGGGCAGTCCCCACATCTTTGGGTGGATGACAGTGAACCAAGGGGTCTCATTTTGCTGATGGGTGGGTGCTAG